AGAGCCCCCCTCATCGGGTGTCCACTATGCCTGGCCACACCAGCTTACGCATGTGGTCTCTCAGGAGACCTGCTGATCCACAGGCCCCCAGAAACAGCACAAGGGGGCAGGGACTTGCACCTGGAAGGGTTGGGGGAGGATGCTGAGGACCAGCGATGCCGCTGGCAGGCAAGGTTCACCTGGGCTGGGCTGAGCGGGTTTGGGGAGCGCTCATGATATCCACGGTCACCTCACCGAGGGGACCAGCCACCCTTGCTTGCTGGGAACCGAGGGTTTTGGCCACGCAGGGCTCTCAGTGCTAAACCATGCGGCCGTCCTGGGTAGTGGGACGGGAGGGCACCTTAACTTTCACCTCCGCCTGACCTTGAGGAGCTGGACGCCGTCACATCGCCACAAACAGACCCAGGTCCTCAACTTCATTTTCCTTAAAACCGTGTCTCTGAGAAATATTATAGCATTTGCCCCTTTTCATTTCATAAGACGTGTTGAAAAAGAGCCATTCATTCCTAAATCCCTCTTTCAGTCACTTTTAATATTCCTTTAAAAATGGAGAGAAAAGGCGCCTGGGACTGAAACTTCACAGACTTGGCCAGAACCCAAACGGGAGTATTTATTTCAGCAGAATTCACTCAGGGTCTTGCAAGTCAAGTGTGTGGATATAAAACACACCTTTTCGGCCCTAAATAATGCCCTTTTCTGCTCGTGGAGGCGGCACCACCAAACGTCAGCTGGACATACGTGGTGTCCCAGGAACGTGGCCGCAGAAACAGAGCGGGCGTGGTGGTTAGGGACAGGGGCTCCTCCGTGTGGGAGCTGCCGGGGCTGGTGGCGAGCGTGGGATCTGGGGGGTTAGCCTGTGGGCTTCACCCAGGTGAGGCCCGTCTCCGCCCGTGACTCCTCCCACTCGCGGGGGTGGGGGTGGGGGTGGGGTCTGTTTAAATTCTCCTTCAGAGCACGGTTGTCATTGGTTGTCAACTGTGCCCTGAGTGCAGCCTGAAGGTGTCTGCATCTCACACGAGGTGCCTTCGCGGGGTGGGGCGGGGGATCCATCAGCGCCTTTAAATCCCAGCCCGTCAACACCAACACAGCGCCGCTCCCCACTCACCAGGGCCGCCCTGCGCCGAGCAGGAGCAGGGCTCGCCCCTTTCCTGTGCTCGAGTGTCCTCAGCTCCTTCTGTCTCTCCATCAGCTGTTGAAGGACAAGCAGACATGTACCTGTGTGCGTGCATCAGTGTAGGTGTGCACGTGTGAGCGTGTGTGCGTGGCACAGGTTCCCTGCCCATTCTCTGAGCCTCCCAGTGAGTCTCTGAGGGCGTCGGGTCCCTCCAGTACCTACTCTGCTGCTGACATTTACCAGTCAACCCTGTCCTTTGCCACCAAGAACCTGGCATTTATGAGAGTAGATCTACAGTGAGCGTAATATTTGGTTATCAGGAGCATCCTGAGACGTCTGCTTCTGGCCAAGGTGGAGTGTGGATTTACCCTCCCACCTGACACAGCTGAAAAAAAAAGCATGAAACCGTCTTCAGGTCACTGGGCAGCAGACAAGGAGGGACAGTGCTTGGTGGCTCTGCCTTGAGAGCCACAGACGGCGGGACAACCTGGGTGGGGCCCGGTGGGTAACGGTCAGGGAGACCACTGCGGCTGGAGCACCCAGGACAGAGCGAGAGAGACAGGACGTGTGCACAGGAGGACCCAGAGGTGAGCGAGGGTCCCCTGGGGCTTTGCTGAGAACTGGCCGGCACCTGTTTAGGCTGGAGCCACTGAGGCCGGGGGGAAGCGCCTGAAGAACCAGAGGGAACTCGGCCGAAGCTCAGGATCGCAGGCCTGCTCCTCCGGCCAGACCCCTCCTGCTTTGTTTTGCTTTCCAGTCAGTTTACATTCAGTGTCCCTTTGTATCAGCGTCAGGGGCACAGCAGAGCAGTTACAGCCACAGGCTTCACCAAGTGTCCCCTCCACGTTTCCAGGGCCCACCTGGCCCACGCACAGTTACAATACGATCGACCTTATTCCCTGGGCTGCGCTTTACATCCCCTGGCTGTTTCGTAACCGCCCACCAACCTGTTCTTCTCAGTCCCTTCACCTCCTTCCTCCAGCTCCCCAGCCCCGCCCCTCTGGCGGCCATCAGCTTTGTTTCTTTAGATTCCACGAGTGAAATCATATGGTGTTTGTCTTTCTCTGATTTATTTTGCAGCGTAATACCCTCAGGTCCGTCTGCGCTGCTGCGGACGGTAAGATCTCGTGCTTCCTCACGGCCGAGTCACCCTGCGGTGCTGCCTGCGGCCCGGGAGGTGGGCGGAGTCCTCCGGCGTCGAGTGTCATCAGCCCCACAGAGAAGGTGCAGCTCTGCCCTCTGGAGACTCCCACAGGTGTGACCCGCCAGCCCCGGGTTCCCCGTGTGGGCCTGGCAAGTGGCGACCTCCCCGCCATCTCGCTCAGGGTCCTCCAGGGGCTGCTCCGAAGCCGAGACCCCAGGGCCCCGAGAACTGGCTCCTGCCCCCCGAGTTCCGCGGTCTCCAGCGACCGGAGCTTTCTCACAGTGACATCTCCAGCTGACTTGTAGCCGGGCTGTTTGTATCCAAGGAAGTGCTACATTCCCCACAGCTTTGCAGGAACTTCCTCTGACACAGCCCAGAACCACCTGCGTTCACAGGCCGGAGCCTTTCTCTGAGATTCTAAACTTAGACTCTCAGTTCCCCAAATATGGGCCCTGACCCTCACTCCAGGAGGCGAGACAGCTCGTCCCCGCATCCCTGTACCCCAGCCTCCGGACCAGGGTGACCAGATGGGCTGGTGGCCCTGGGGGGAACTGGAGGCAGCGGCAGGCGCCCTGACCCCCGTGCGTCCTGTCTCGTGGGCAGATGCCAGCCCCTTCAGCGCTGGCAGGGACAGGTGGCCCCCGAGGCAGCCTGAGCAGCTCTGCCCAGGAGCGAGGTGATCTTGTGGCAGAAACTCTGCCTGGTCACAGGGGCTCTGGGTGGTGCCCCGTTTCATCACTGCATTCCTGGTGTCCACGAGTAACCACAGGAGACAGGTGCTGTAAAGGGGCAGCCCCGCCTCAGCTGGCCCCGCACCGACAGCGGGCACTGTGCTCCCTCTGGGTATCAACGTGCCGGGCTGAAAACGGTCACACGGAGACCACACTCCTCAGCTGGTGTACAGCCTGCCACTCTGCAAGACGACCTGCTGACAAGCTGATTTCTTGCCCTGGGTGTGACCCCTGGCTCTGCCTCACCAGCCATGTGATCACGGAAGTCCAGTCACCCCACTGTGCTCAGTGTGGACACAGTGGATTGACCCGGGTGAGCAGGACCATGAGCACAGGGCAGCTCTGTGGCCGGCTGGCCCCTCGCCTCAGGGGGCTGTGCCTGAGCCACTCACACATTCATGTCCTAATGAGCTGCTGTGACCAGAGCGCAGGGCTCTGAGGCTGGAAGGCAGCCAGGTCTTCCCTTTTCGGGAGGGTGTTTGATAAAGACGCAGTGTGACACTACCGATCAAGTGGCTCTACACTCCTGCGTGAGTGGCCTTCTGGCTGGTGGTCACAGGAAGCAATAGGGCAGCAGGTCTACCCCACTGGGTCGGAATTCCCGACATGGAAACTGGTTCCTCGGCTCCCCCATGACCATGTCGCTTCATGGCTGTTTTCTGCATCTGGCAAGGACATGATGCACCTGAACTACATACAGACCAAGGCAAATGTTCTTCAAAGAAAAGCACAGGGTCTTATTGAAAAGTTTACATCATTCAAGGACATAAGCTTTCATGGAGACGATTATCATTATAACAAGTTCCGAAAGAAGACAGATACAAGTTCAACTTTACAAAATGTGACAAGATGACCAAGAGTAAGACACACGAACACAAAGTCGGCTATGACTCACTTCTGTGCACACTCTCTGGAACAGCAGGAGCCCCAGGAGCCAGCTTGGCCCCGGGCTGGAGGGACTGGCAGGTGGGGGCGAACCTGTGCAGGGGACTCAGGGTCGGCTCTCCGGGAACCAGTCTCTGCCTTGTCTTCCCCTCAAGGTGCAAGAAGGGTGTCTCAGTGACCTCCCAACTCCACCCCCTGTGGCCCATGGAGACGGGCAGAGGGAAAAGTGGTCAGTCCCCACTCCCCACAAGGGTGGGAACTCAGCCCATGTCCCAGCCCCACCCCCGCCCGTAGGGAAAGGCCACCTTTCAACAGATGGAACTGCACCCACACGGCCTCCTCCACAGATCCCACAGTTGCATGTCTGTGGCCTGTTGGGAAGGCTCAGGGAGGAGCCGTGGGCACAGGAAGGCTGGGGCAGGGACAGTGCTCATCACTGCACCTCTCAGGGTGGCATGCTCTTTCCTCCACCTGGGGCATGTGTCCCACAGAGCAAGTCAGGCAGGACGAGATGTCCAGGCTATTTCTGGCTGCAGAGACCGTCTGGGAGATGGACGTGAGCTGCTAAATTGCCAGGTTTCTGAGGAGGATGAGTTGGGCAATTTAAAAATCAAAGGTGTCCTAGAAAACCAGTCCATGGCCAAATGGCCACCGAGCCCAGCCCTAGTCGTCACTTTCAAGGAAACGCAGCACCTGAGAGCTACAGCTACACCTGAGGGAGGAGAGCCATGAGGATCCACATTCATCCTACACGACCTAGGAACTCACTCAGGTTCAAGGTTAGACAACACCCACCCTCCAGCCAGGTTGTGTCTCAGCCAGGAGGTGAACCTGACCTCTGAAGCCCGAGATGCCAGGCTCGTCCCTCAAACAGGACTGAGACTGGCCTCCGACAGACCTACAAGAGGCCCCAGGAAAGCGAGGGACGAGTGGCGGCCTCTAGTGGCGACAGATGGCTGTTTCCCATCAGACACCTGTCGCTATGGAGAGGACCTGGCCTCCTCCCAGCTGCAGGAGATAAAACCCACCAGGAGGAAAAGCCTGTTTTCTAGAAAGCACATCCTCAGGACTGTCAGAGAAGAGCCTTGGGGCAAAGTGTCCTGAAATAAAAATAACGGAGACAGACTTTCTGGGGATATATTTTTTAAGTTCTACAGCTTTAAGTAAATTTTATTGTAAAAATTCAAACTCAGAGAAACTAGGAAAACCAGGAATTTCAACCTTGTTCACGGGACTGTGCGGGTCCCTCTCCGTGGCCACCGTCACCACTGTCACAGCTTGCCCAGAGGCAAGCGGATACTCCTGGGGGCGTCACCACGGCGCCTCACCCTGGTCTCCACTTTATGTCTTTCACGCCCTGAAAGTGTCTCTTCAGAGCAGAGCTGTCTGCCCACGGAGAATCCAGACAGGAGTCATCGTCATTTTCTTCCAGTTTCTGGAAATACACGTTCTATTCAGGAAGGCACCACAGGAAACTGTTTTGCAGCATAAAGAGACTAAGGAATGAACTGTAACCCCTCCCCCCAGCAGGACACTTCCAGACCCTAATGGGGGACACCTGGGAGAACCCCACAGCCCTGGAGAGGCCCTGCAGGACGGCCGGCCCCTGGGGAGGCGTCTCGGCACCTTGAGCTCCTCCTGCCGGCGGTGGTAGTACAGCATCAGCTGCTTCTGCTCCTCGCTGCTGATCACCGGCTCTCGGGCTGGGGCGCCCTGTCCCCTCTGCAAAGACGGAAGGGCACACCGTGGGTCAGGCATTCCTCAGGGACCACCAGGAAGCGACAGTGACTGTGTTACAAACCCCCTGCCACCTGCTGAGGGGAAACAAGTCATCTGCTTCTGACCATCCAGGTGTCACCGGGCCCTTGCTGGCCCTCGAGGTGGATGGAGACCGGGGCTACGCCCACGTCAGCACTGCAGGTCCCGTGGGGAAGGGACAAGGGGACTCTGTCTCCCCCAGATTAGAGAGATGGTTTAGGGGGGAGCACACGGCCACAGCAGCCCTGCAGACACAGCACGTTAGACCCCGATGCTCGCTGACCTCCTTCCTCACCAGACTGTCAGCGCCTGGAGACTGGGCAGCAGTGCTCCGGGCAGGGCTGCTCGTTCCAAGGAATGCTTTTACCCACTTGTAGCCTCGATCTTAATGTCGAAATTAACACGCCCCCCATCAAAACAAACTCCTGATATTGTCAATTCATCCACATTTTCTTCCGGCCTGGGCTGGTACGTGAAGGAAAGTTTTACTTTAAGTCCAGACCAACAGGATTCAAGGGCCTGTCCAGGGAGCTTAAGTCTTTCAGACTCACTGGGAACGTTTATCAGCTTGACAGCAAGTAGAAAACAGTGGCTGCTGACGTGCCCACCTGCTGGATCTTGACGATGATCTTGGTTTTCTCGTTCCTGCCCACGTAGTCTGAGAGCTTCTTGGTTCTTCTCAGCTCCTTGGCCGCCCACCACAGCTGTGCTTCCGACTCCTCGACCACACTGAGTCCTGCCTGGGCCACGGTGAGAACCGCTCTCAGGTTATTAGGGCGCAGGTGCCTGGGACCCGCTTCCTGTACCCTGCCCTCCCCTCCCGAGCCCACGGGCAGCACTGGCTCCCCACCTCTTGGCGCCGACCCTGTCAGCTTCAGCTCACGCCCTGACTCAGTGAGCTCCCTGCCCTGGGAAGTGGGGAGCACCCTATCTTCTCTGCACCTCCATCGGTAATAAAAGGTCCCTCAGAGATGGGTTTTGAGGAGATGGCTGGGGAGCCCCCGGGGATCTCACTGGGTTTTTAAATACAGGCCATGGGGCTTCTTGCTGCTCCTGCATGTCCCGCTCGTGCGAGACGGCTCAGAGAAGCAGACGCTGTCTGACGGGATAGGAACAGATGAGACGAAGGGGGTGGAAAACAGAGGTGAGGCTGGAGCACACAACTCCACGCAAGGGCGTCAACAGGCACAGGTTAGGTTTCTGGCTTCCGTGGCCCCGAAGCAGTAATGCTTCAGTTACTGCCCATGGGCGGCCTCACAAGCCTAATGTTGGCCCCACTGTGTGTGCGCCACGCCCGGCGCCCCAAGTTCAGAACTTGGCTCTGGAGCAAAAACTAAACCCGGAAGAGGGGGGTCAAATCTGAGGGGCGCCGGCCGGCATGGCTCAGTGGACTGAGCGGCGTCCCCTGCACCACGAGGTACCACTGGTTCCAATCCCGGTCAGGGCACATGCCCGGTCTGCAGGCTCCATCCCAGTAGGGGGTGTGCAGGAGGCAGCCAACTGATGTGATGTTTCTCATCGATGTTTCTCTCTCTCCCCCTTCCCCTTCCTCTCTAACAATCAATAAAAACATTTTTAAAATATCTGAGGGGGCCCCTGCTCTTTGGGGGGAGGTGAACACACCCGACAGAATACCCAAGAGCCACACACCTGAGTTCCTGACAAGTCTTCTTTATTTTCAAATTCCATCCGGATGGGGTCGTAGGGTGGCAGGCCCATGGGATAGACAATCATCACTGCCCCCCGGAGCTGATCCAGGGCATCCTTCACCATCTCCATGGTAACACAGACACCGGCTTCCACTTGTTTCTGAAGGTGACAGGCCCAGTTACTACACTGCAGCTGGTCCATTCAACAGACGTTTATCAAGTCCCTGTACGGAAGCAACTCGATCTGCCTCAGGGGCAGGGCCTTTCACTCTCTTAAGTTCTTCAAAAAGGTAAAGGAAACAAAATCACTGCATCGGTTCCTATCAGCTTGGGTGAGCCCATCCACCCGAGCCAGTAACATCCTGTCTGACTGGGAACTGGGAGGATTCAGGACAAATGGCACAGCTGTGGAGAGGAAGAGCCGGGGCCCGCCCCAACTCGTGTGTTTTGCTCGCCCCTGGAAGGCTTAAAAGGCAATAGGAAACGCCGGTGGGCAGGTAACTCTGGAAGCCACCACTGGGGCCTACTTCAAAAGACCAGCTTAGTGCAGCACTGGAAAGGCCAACCTTAGATATTATTGCTTTGGCTTCTTCTATAGTCTTCTTTAAAACTTGCTTCATTTTTTCATTTGGAGCTATGGAAATAAAAAGGGGAGGGAGAGACAGCAACCTTTAAAAGTCTACTCAAATGTCCCAAACCCTTCAGTCTGAGTCGGGGAGTAAGTGAAATGAGACAAAGTAGGGAGTTTAGATGAGGGACAGACAGCTGGCCGGGAGAGTCTGGGTAAAATCTCTCACGAGAGCAGAGACCTGGAGTGTGCTCTACGCAGAGAAGCAAAGGTGCAGAGAACAGGATGGGTGTCCCTGCACACATGGCTGGCAAACCTGCCCTGTGAGGCCAGACAGTAAACATTTCAGGCCGTGCAGGTCACACAGTCTCTCCTGCAGCCACTCAGAGTGACAGCAGCCAGATGACACTTAAACAAGTGTGTGTGGGGGGGAAGGGCGCACTCCAATACAACTTTATTTACAAAAATGGGTGTTGGTGGGATTGGACCCATGGCTCAGGGTTGCCCACCCCTAACAAGAAAAGAAAAAAATCGTAACCTGAAAGTTTAGAAGCAAAAATAATGGAGAATTTCCGAATCTAAGGGAGATGGGGAGAGTTCACACCTTATGCACTTAAGAACAGTACTATTTAGACACTGAAAATACAAGTGTAAAACTCTATCTTATGAGATCTTTTTTTTCCTATTGATGCAATTCCTTCTTAAAAGCAAAAAATCTCTCCAAATTGAGGAGGAATTTAGGTATGAACAGGTAGAGAAGACAACCAACCACGTTCTGGGTAAAAAGTCAAAGAAATTAACACTAGAAATTCCCATTATCCCCAATACGTCTATTTATATATAAAACAAAAAACATATACATATGTATTTTGAGTGTGAAGCCCTTGCAGGACACTTGCATTTCTTTTGCTCCAGCATTTTGGGGGCACAGTAGGTACACAGGCGTTTGTTAATGACCAGTTATAGTCTCTATGAGAAGCTGTCTATGCAAATTAAGAGGGACAAGCTATCACAGTGAGTCATCACCCTGTCTGTCCTTCACACTCACACCGTCAGTCACACACTGACCGCAGCAGAATCCTCTCCCCGGTGCTGACAGGTACCTAGGGGCTTTGCACCAGAGAAAGGATGTCCTCCACCCAGGTGCAGACCCTGTGCTCACATTCACTTCCTTCTTTCACACGCAATCTTTAAATAAAGCCCAGTTTTTGCCAATCCTAACAAAACACAACCTTCAATACATTTTCAGCAATTTCCCCCCAAAACTATTAGGTTGTACCATACAAAATTGCCAATTTTCAACCATTTCTGACCCATAAAAATGGCAATTTCATATGGCTCATTGGATATATTTAAAAGCTGGCTGCAACTAAGAGCAAGATGACAGGCCCTGAACGGTTTGGCTCAGTGGCCGGAGCATCGGCCTGCAGACTGAAGGGTCCTGGGTTCGATTCTGGCCAAGGGCATGTACCTCAGCTGCAGGCTCCATTCCCTGTTTGGGAGGCAACCAACCAATGTCTCTCTCAGGTGGATGTTTCTCCCCCCCCCCCGAAGAGCAATGGAAAAAATATCCTCACGTGATGATTAAAAAAAAAAAAGCAGGACGACGGGGGCTTCCTTTATCCACCTACTTCATCTGGGTGGGTGTTTCACAAGGAGGGGTCACATGGTGCAGTATTTCCTAACTCTGCACCAGCACACCGAGGTCAGTATTTAACCTAAGGCACAGCTCCCGCCCACCCTGGCTGCTGGACTCTGGCGTGCGGAGCAGGGGTCGCTGCATTACCCTGCCCATTCCTTCGTCCAATGTCGTCCTTCTTAAACACGGCGCCTCCGCTGGGCACGCACTTCTCACCCCACTCGTCCCTTAACTTCAGCTCTTCAACCTGGTCGTCAGTCAGCCCCTGCATATTCGGAGGGAGGAACACCCCATGCTCTGCCAGTTCTTCCATTTCTTAAACACAAGAGTAAGACAACATGTCACGATCGTCACCCTAACACCTCGGACCTTAGTGGGCAGGGGGCTTGCCCGGTGGCTCGTGATTTTATTTCACAAGCACTTAGCTACCACTTGGCGTGTGCCAGACCTGCCCTTGACCTTTAACAAATGACCCACCCGCCCAGGTCAATGGAAGCACAGAGGCGTTAGGAGGCCGCCCGCAGCCACAGGCAGCCCAAGGTCGCGGGCAGCGGGCAGCGGGCTGCAGAGGCTGAGCCCTAACCCTCTGGGCTACACTGCACTTCCTGGCGCTCGGGGGGCACAGATTAAAACTCACCGACAGTCTGCACACATATCCACACAGGGCTTTAGGGCTGACTTTCCAAGCGTGTTCCCGTAACTCTCTCAGGTAACAACCTCGTGAGGTGGGCAAGACTTACCAACACCGCATCCCCCTAACTTACAGCTGTGGGATCTGAGGCTGGCTCAGCTCAAACAGCTACTGCTTTATACAAAACTTCAGGAATGATTCACGTCAATCCCACCAGTGGGGAGGATTTAAGGCCCCCGCTCCTGGAAGTGGCAGACCGGACAAATCCTTGGCTTTCTAGCATCAAGTTCACTCTTCAAACCAGGGCTCTATGTTTTCCTACCCCACACAGTGTATTCACCCCCAAAGCAGCCGCGTTTCAGCCTCAGGAATCCGCATCCCACCCCCCAACCAGGAAGGTGACGTGGACCCGGGTCTTCCCCTGACCCCGTGAAGACGGCACCGCGGTCACTCTCAGCCTCAGGGGCCAGCGGCTGGTCCGGATCCAGCGCCGGGGCCTGAGGGCTCCAGGTGCTCCCACAGGACCACGCTCAGCACCAAGCCCCCAACGGGCACCTTCGTCAGCCCCTTTCTCCCCAAACGCTTTAACTCAGAGATAACATTTCCTGCTGAGCTTGTTTGGAGGCGGCGCGCCCGACGGATAACCCGCGTGGGAGCGTCCGGGGCAGAGGCCGCGCCCTCGCAGGTGCGACTCTCACGGGGAGACTGAAACGGCGGCTCCCGGGCGCCCCTGCCGCCCCCCGGGTGCTCCGCGGGGCCGGCCCCTC